GCGAAAGCGACAGAGATGTGAGGAACCGATTTAATAAGTAAACAGAGGGGGTCGGCACAATAATGGGAGTTGCAGTAGAGTTACAGGCCACATGACTCACTATCGACGGCGATATTGCTCAATGCGGTGGCGCAGTAATACTGCACGTCCGGGTCGGGCGAGGAGAGAAGGGCAATCAGCAATGGGATAGCGCCCGCGGCGCTGACGAGCTGGCGGCGCGTTTCGTCTGTATGCGTCATGTTCAGTAGGGCGCCTGTTGCGTTTCTCTGCAATGGGGAGGCGCATTTCCAAAGATAAATGCAGAATGGGTTAAGAGACGATACTAGATTCCCATGGGCATTTGGATTTCGATTAAGATAGCCGGACTCGCCTGCACTCGGATGTCCCTCGACCGGGCCAATCGTGTGAGGGGAAAGAGCGCACCGCTCCGGGCGATTTTGGACTTATTTTCGTCTAGATGAGTTCAGAGAAAGAATGATGTCGTTTTAGGTGGTTGATGGTCCGCATATGGATGATTCGGTACCAGGGCAACTCCTGCCACTCTTACCATCTTACCGTGCGTGGCGAGATTGGTGATGCATCCCACTGCGTTGCATTGTACCTCAACGTTGGGGGACTGCATCAGGTGGACGAGGGGCTCGAGCCCTCCTAGCTCGACGATCCATACCTTGTTCTCCGCTGTGGGTGTTCGGAAAGAGAAATGAGTAGAGTTAGTGGCATCAAAATAACGGAATAATCGGCGAGAAGGCCTACAACCGAAAAGGGCGGCCTGTTGCCGATGCGACGCGAGGAGATCCCGTAAATCTACTCACAATCGACGGCTAGGTTACCAAGAGCGGCGGCGGCTGCGCGCTGGACCTCGGCATCGTGCGATTGGAGGAGGTAGATCACTGGTTCGAGGGTATCGGCGTTGACCTGACGGACATCTTTTTGGAATATGTCAACGGCTGATTATTAAGACCTTACGCACGCACTCGATTACTACTAACCGTTCTCCGTAACCTCTGCAAACGCGAGCGCAGACGATCGCTGAAGATCAATGTTATCGGAGTAGGCGAGGATGGCGAGGGCGCGGAGCGGAGGCCCGCTGAAGAAATCGGTCGATTCGCGATCTTCAGCGCGGTGAAGGCGAGTGTCAGACGCAATTCCGATGTAAAATTCATTTCTCTCTCTTTGTGAAGTGAACCTAGCGAATGCTCACTTGATAGGAAGACCAAAAGATCCGCAGCGGCATCCCGCTCGTTTTGCTGTAAAAGTGGTTCGTAGAGTCCCGTGCCTTCTTGGCCTTCTTGGGCAAGGAAGGAGATGACGATGAGCGAGATGCTTGGTCATGAAGGCGTCCTGAGTTTCGGACCGGGCATCGCCTCCATCGGCTCCAGGTGCAAAGCCCAGCAAGCTCCCTTACCGCCTCTCCTGAACAGGATGCGACAGGAAGCCCAACATCTCTGCAACCAATTCCCCGAGGGCGCACGATTCTGTTCAAGGCCTGGAGCGTCGAGGGGGAGGGGTTCGTAGAGGTTGCGCGTTCGGCCTGAGTGTTCCCAAGAGGGGAAGGAAGAAGGAGGTTTCAGGGTCCTGGCGACAAACGGTTCACGCGTCGGAAGTTCTAATCGCTTGTGCGGGTGCGGAGGGGAGGCGCACCTGACGAGCAGAAGGGGAACCAGATAGCGAAAGGACGAGGGCAGCAGTCACCCAGGCAGTCCCAGAGCATTCTTTACGGGGTTAGAGGCGAAGAAGCGAGGGAATGAGATGGCGACAAGCTTTGCGGAAGGACAAGAAGACGACCGAGTATGGCGTTGAGGAGGGGAGGATGGGAGGGAACACGGAAGGAAAGAAAAAGAGGCGGAGGTCAGACCAACGGGCCTTTCCTCGATAATGAATATCAGCCGCCGGAAATTCCACGGCTATTGATCTGAAGCATAAAAACACCTCGTGAATGGCGGAAATGAAATGTCAACTGGGTCGTCGTCAACGACCTCTTCACCCCATCCCTGGAATCCAGCCCCAACAAAGATCACAACAGCAGCTTCTTCAAAGATGGCCACCGCCACCCCTAACTCGCTCACCCAGGTCGAGCGCGACATGTTGGCTGCTCAAATCCCTCAGTCGCTTTGGTATGTGTTCCAGTGGCCCTCCCCCACGCGAGCTCCTCCCCCTCTTACCAGTCAGCCCCTCTTCAAACCCCCAGGCCCGCCCTGCTCGCGAAGCTCAAAACCGAAACGTTCAACGCGGGCTCGCTGTTCGCCTTGGCTGAGTCGGAATCCGAACACCGGAAATATGATCTCCAGCTGCTCAAACCCGGAGGGCTGGAGAAGGAGGGTGAAGTCTTTCTCATCGACCACGCGTGGACTTTCGAACCGGAAAAGGCCGCGGAGCAGCTTATCGCTCATCCGGCGCTCGTGGCCAGGCTAGAGGTGCGATTTGGAGCGTTTAGTGTCGAGGGACGGAGCGATGTAAAGTCGATAATTCATTCATGGGAAGGTCCGAGATTCTAGAATCCTCCCCCCTTACTGATAATTTTATTCTTACATACTATCCCAGGGAATGATGCTCGAAACCCTTGCGGAAGAATCCTCCGATGCGGCTGCCGACTCAGATGACGTCGCGGAGGCCCTCGACATAATCGTGTCCCAGACCGGCGCGACGCGTGACGCTGCCCGCGCCTCCTACGACCGCGCCGGAGGTCAGCTCGTCGACGCAATCGCCGCTCTCACGATTGACCCCGAAGCGGCCGCTGAGGCGGCGAGCGCCCTTGCCGGTATCCAGGAGCAAGTCCTCGGCAACGTGGCGGCGCAGCACACCGAATCTCGAGAGCGGCAGAAGGATTTGAGGCTCAGAGTCAAGGACGTCGTTGCGAAGCTGTGGGCTTTTGCGGGAACATATCAGGCGGGTTGGCGAGGACAGGATGGGGTTGTCCGGATGTCTAGCGTGTGGTGTAAGTGGTTCTGTTCCTTTTCCTCGGGGCTGTGGGAGAGGGTCAGAAGTGGGAATATCGGCAAGTGACGACTCACCCCTCCAAACGTATTCCAGACGTTATGGACGAAGTCGGCACAGCCGTGTCGCATAGCGATGCTCCGAACGTGGCTATCGTCCCCTTCATCTACGTTTCGCCCGCCGGTGCGATCCCCTACAGCGTGATGTGGCCGGTTAAACGCATTGAAGAAGACGAAATCGTCACTCGCGATTACGTCCCCGCCGGTAAGAGACAGGTCAAGTATGCGAGGTACAAACGGGAGAGGTCGCCGGGTACGGCCCATTATTTGCCGGAAAGATAGAGTCGCCTAATTTGCAGGGGTCGACCGGATGTTCTTGGTAGGGATCACTGGTCTGGATCGCGATGCGTATTTGAATGCGTTCTTCCCGAATGCCCGAGACGCGCTCTCTGCCCACTTTAAGGTACGTTCGCCTTCTCTCTCGCTTCCGTTGCTCGGGTTAACAACTCTCTTCTTTTGCACACCTACAATCGAATCTTATCATTTCCACTTGCGCTCCTTCAGAAAATATCCGAACTCCCCCCCACCAAAACCCCCGCCGTTCTCGCCACCTCCTTGCCCGCCCTCGTCACTCCCTCGGACGTGATCAAGATCCACTCGACTTCCTCGATCTCGAAGCGGCTATTCGCGTCCGAGAGCGTAGTGGTCGTGGACGATTCCGCTGGCGCTGATATCGCTTGGGTCGAAAACCCGCTCGTGAGTGACTTGGCGAGGGCTGCGGAAGCTGTCAGGTAAGCGGGTAGAGGTGGGAGCGGATGGGCGTTTGGCCTATTCCAGTCTCCCCTCCTTTACGCGTCCCCCCTCCGCTCTAGATCGACCTACGCGACCCCAGATTGGTTCACCCCAACCTACCCCGTCGCAACCTCCCTCGCCTCCTTCGCCGGTAACTACTTCACCGACGCCCCGCCGTCGCAGCATCTATGGCTCATCAAGGACATGACCCGTATCACGCCACCGCGTCTCACTCCGCGAATCGACGAGGCGCTTCGCCAACGCGATGTTGGCGCTTCCGGGATCATCCTCCAGAAGTGGATCGAGGCCCCCGCGTTGTACGGCGGAAGGAGATTTGAGATGAGTTGGACTGTTTTGGTTGCTCGTGGGGTTGGAGGGGATGCGGTGCTTCTGGTAAGTTTGCATTCACGGGATGTGTCGTGGGAAGCAAGGCCGCGGAGTGAGGAGTGCGGACTCTACATTGATCATGCGTTACTCTACCGCCCAACTTTTAGTACGAAACCCCCATCATCAGTGTCGCAAACGACCCCTTCATCCTCGCTGACTACAACTCCCGCGCCCGCCAGTTCCCCGAGCCTCGCCTCGGCACTAACGGCCGCTTCGCCCCCGACTCCCCCACGTTCGTCAAAAACCTGGAGCGCGAGCACCCTGACCGAAGATGGGCGGACGTTCGGACTGACATCACTCGCGTGATTGCAAAGCTGTTTGCTGCCGTCCTCGCCGCTGCCGGCCCGGGCGCGGCACAGTTTGGGCTTTACCGAGGTGAGCGCGGCTTGCTATACAGATATTATCGTCCCCATCCCTCGCATACTCACGCCCACCTACCCACAGTCACGATCGAGCTCACGTCCACCCTCTCCCCCGTGATCGTCGACTTCGAGAGCGACGTCGACTTTTCCGGTGTCCGTGCGTGGGCCGCCGACCCGGGTGCTGCTATCGCTGGTGCAGCCCTCGGGCGCCCGGATACGGGGTTTGCCATCATTGCTGCTTGAGTTGATCTGTATCATGGCATTTTTTTTGCATTTTTTCTGGGCACTGCACTGGCAATTGCATCATTTTGATTGAAGTCGGTGTGGGTGCAGGTTTTCTCCGCGCATCTGGTTCTTCTGGAGGCAACCCGCAAGCTTTACTGACCCTTTCGGCTCTCCGATTGCGGTCGACCTCTGTTACCTGACACTGTGCATTGCTTCATAGGGGCGAGGCAAAAGGACGCATATGAGAATATGCCGGTCGCTAAGATGTCGAATGGGCCGGAAGCGACTGCGCGTAGACAAATGCAATTGATGGGGTTCGCGCCCGGGCCGCTCGCTAGGGAAGCGAGCATGTTAACCACTATACCAGAATTGCCAGCGTCCAATGTGTTTTTATGGGATATGGAGAGGGAGGGAGTAGCCAACAGTTTTTTCACCGCCATGAATCGTCGAAAGGTGGCTGCTTCGCTCGCTCGTTTGATGGAGGGACAGAAACCCCTTGGTCAGATCGAGGTTAAAAACGTCGAGTCGAGGTCGACCTGTTGGTACACGCAGATGGGGAGTGGATCTTCACGGCGATCTCCTTCGAGTTCGGAGAATCTTGCTCGAAGGCGAACGTGCGAGTTGCTGTCGCGGAACATCTTTCCCCGCCCCGTGCGTGCCCCGGACAACGTATTAATAATCATCTGATATCCGCCCGAAGTCGCGCGTAACTCAGCCTCTTCTTGCGCCCGCCCCCCCGTGTAGTGCTCAAAAGGCCACATCGTCCCTCCTCCATCTCCATCCTCCACCCTCGCCGTCCCTTTTCGCACCAACCCAAGCTCGCAATGCCCGTTCAGAAGTCCGACGAAGAGGTGCGGGTTTTCACAATAGGGCGTGCGTGTGGTGCGGGGCAAAGCATTCCGGGCGTCTCACCCCCCACGTTTTTTAGTGGCGCGCCGTTCTGTCTCCTGCACAGTTCAAGGTCATCCGCCAGAAGGGCACTGAGGCCCCGGGTACTGGTGAATATAATAAGCACAAGGAGGAGGGTATGTGCGGGGTCGAGTGTTCGAAGTGGTCACCTCCCACCAACCGCGGGACCGTCGCGCTTAATTCCTGTCAACCGCACACTATTTCCTCCATTCAGGCGTCTACACATGCGCAGCTTGCGACGCTCCTCTCTACAAGTCCACAACCAAGTTTGACAGTGGCTGCGGATGGCCGGCATTTTTCGGTAAATATGTATTCCCCTGTCCTTGAATATGGCGATCCGGAGGGGGGAGGGGGGGGGGGGGGGGGGGG